TAGATAAAAATATCTATTAACTTACTCTACCTAAGCGTTATAAATAAATTCATTTAATATTTTACGTTTCACTTCTTTAGACTTATTATTAACGCTAAGAAACTCTTCCTTCTTCACCTATCAATGTAGATAAAGAGGAAGAGTTCGATATAGAATAAATTCTAGACGCTTAAGGAAAGAAAGTAAGACGACGTTAGTTAGTTAAATAACTAGAGTAGGACTATAAATATAATATATAGAAATCTAGGAAACACTTCATCGGTGCCCTTATACGAAAAATGATTAGAGAGTTCGACGAAAAGTACGGCGTACGTACTTAATAAGAAATATCTCTCATCTAAATCGAGTAGAGGTATACTTAGTTTCACCATAAAGGGCTACTTACAATCTACGCTACGTAAAGGCGATACCCTTATAGGTCGTTTTAGAGGTCCCGACCTACCTCTAAGAATAAGTATTACTCTACTATCTATATATATTCTATATTTTAGGGAGGTCCCGATCTATCTTCTAAGGATAATGTTGCTCTACTATTTACTTATATTCTATATGGCTCTAATATTAGTACTATAAACGAGAAGAACGACGTCGTCTAGAGACATCGTTGTCTTAGCGGCTATAGACCTAGAGACGTTCTTAATTCATATATTCGACCTACATTTTAGAGCCGCGAAGAGTAGCTAACTATACGTTCGGCACTCTCTAGCGAGCGCGGACGGCGGCAGCGAAAGAGAAGAAAGAGACAATAGCCTTCTTTAAGACCGGCGAAGCCGGAGAAGAGAAGAGAGGAGAGGAGGAGTCACTAGAATAATCAGCACTTTAGTTTATTTCATTATTAGTAATTTCTCACTCGAATCGGGTGGGAAGAATAAGTATATCGAAACCCGAGCTAAAATCCTTCTCATCGTCATTAACGAAGGTAGAAGGGGCCGGGAGAGAGGGAGTCACTATTCTAATTAGTATTATTTCTCTATCTCTTAATATTACTAATAAAAGGTGAAAACGTCCATTAGAACGTCTAGTAAATGTTAAACCTCCCTAAGATTAGAGAGGTCGATATCGCCGCTAACCTTATAAGTACGGTTAGCTTTTCGAAATATAAGCTTAAGCCCCTATACTTAGGACTTAAGCCATTTCCTAAAATAGATGTTAGTGATTTATTATTCGAATCGGATAAGAAACATCTATATCTAATCGGCTAGAATAGTCGAACTACTGCTAGCAACGAAAATTACTCTCTCGATGAGAGCTTAGAGGATACGATAACTTATCTACAGATTAACGGGGATCTAATTTATTTAGTATATCATTAACCTTAGCTAAATTCTCACTTACGGTAACGTAGTTAGCGCTAGGCCGGGAACGAGAGTAAAATCTACACGACTTAAACTAAGTTTAGTCGTAGGGTAAGGTAGAAAAAACTGGCTCCGAGCTAGGAGTAGACGGAGAATCCGTAAAACCGCGGAAAGCGCTTCTTTCGTTAGTACGCTATCATTATTCTAATATTATAGAACTCATAATTCTTACTAATAAGGCTAGCACTATAGCCCAACTAGGACTAAGTGTTTAGCCGGACTTCCTCGTACGTAAGAGGCTATATATATATTAGTAGCGTCTCTCACCCGAGTGAGGTAGGTAATACTTATATATCTTATAGTTAATCTAAACGAGAAAGAAAGAGACGAAGAAGGCCATAGTAAAGGGCTTAAGAACCAAAGCAAAGGCTAAAGTAAATTAAACCTCACCCGCATTACTGCAATAATACAAAACGGCTGTCTCATCTAAATCGAGTGGGAATTTAATTACTTACTATTGTCAGTGAATGGCTATTTAACTACTATATTATTATCTTCGTCATTAATAATTAAGACGGCCTATCCATACGATGAATTAAGGCTATCTTTATACTCGCAGCGACTCAAGGGCGAGCCGCTTTTTAGAGGGGGGGCAACTGTCACGAACCCACCGTTGTCCCTAAGTACTCTACGCCCTTCACCCGAATCGGGTGGACGGTATAGAAAGAAAAGGAAAGGATAAGGTAAAGGACGGTTGAGGCACAAGGCTATCGGTTAACGCTGCCTTACCCTTTTCACGTGATAGAAAGAGAGGAAGCTATAAGAGTCTCCTCTCACCTAAATCGGCTGAGAGAGAACTCTTCCTTTTTCTCAAGCGTTGAGTCGTTGTCAATAGGGCTACGTGAATAGAACAAGGCATTCAGCTACTCTAATTCCTTTGTACCTACTGCGTTGCGTAGGTCCCTGATACGCAAAGAGTTGTCAAGATGGCTTTCTTCGGCCGTGAACAATTAGACCGGTGCAATGGGTCTTTGAAGCCAATCCAGAAGAACCGAAAACAAAGGTGGTGATATGGCCAGGATTTGGGAGCTGGGATGACGGCTTGAAAGGCCCATTACAATCTCGCGCCTGGGTGCTTCAGGAACGACATCTGTCGCCCAGAGTTCTGCATTACACCAGAAAACGCATGCTTTGGGAATGTAGAAAAAACAGAGCATCTGAAGATTCGCAAGAAATGAAAGCCGCACCCAAAGACCGATTTCTAGACGGAGGAAATGGAGCCCTTGGGAAAACTGCCATCATCATTTCAGACCACAAACCTTTCCATGAGCGCCATCGACGATGGTATGTCATTGTTGAAGAATATTCGCGCCGTTAACTTATCACATCCCGAGGTCAGGCTTGATGCATTATCATGATATGCCGCTGAATGGAATAGATTGAGTCCAGAAGACGATTACATCGCTGGTTTGTGGAAGAGTGACCTGTTCAGGTGTCTTGCGTGGTTCCCCAGCACTGACGCAAACGACATCATGAGAAGATTACCCAAATGTGATTCAGTATGGCCACCATGTTCACGGTATTACGGGATGCCGTCCTGGACGTGGGCGGCGTACGATGGCCCTATCATTCACTTTGGAGAGGCTTGGTATGATCCGACGTATGAAGTACCTATGACCCGTTGGAAAGTGGGACAGGGCTACTCGCCAAAGCCTTGCCCTTTGAACTTTCTATCAGTATCAACAAAAGTGCTAGGATGGAACCCTTTCGGAAGAGTAAGCGGTGGTGAGCATGTCTTATCTAACTGGTCTATTGAAGTGACCATAGACGAATCGGCGCACCATCCTGGGTATCTGATCGCAATGGGGGATGGAGCAAAGGGATACCAGCTGCACCCAGACCTTAGTTATACCGCCGACAGGATGGTGTTTCGATACGGATCCTTCCACCCTTCCGAGTATTGGTTTACTTCTTCTACAACTTGGACAATGAAGAAATTTACATCACTCGAGTTCTCTGGCAACGGGTCTGGCTTTGAGGCGTGTCCAAGACGAGGGACACCAAGGGAACGAACAGACTTATAGACGAGCAGGGATGTGGGATATCAATGATTACGATTTCTGGATTGCAGATCGAAAACGGAGGACTGTCACGATTATCTAACACGGCAGGATGGGTATGAGGTTCGAACCGCTGCCGAGCAACTCAAGAGACCAAAGGGAGCACGACGATGCGCGTGTACTCGCAACTTACGTACGAAGGGGCTCTGGATTCCCCTGTTGAGACAAATATGGTTGTCAAAGGCTGGCATGGGACAAGAGAGCAGATGAAGCACTTGCGAAAGTCTATCAAAGGTAATTGATCTACCCCTTCATTTACATGCTACTTAAGGCACGCTCAGATCCATGAGGCTCCCCGAAGACCGCTCTTAGGGTTGGGCGCCCCTCGGGCCCAAAGGGGCCATCCAGTCGCGTGCTAAAAACACGGCATGTTCTCCGTGCGTTAAGCTTCCATGTTCTTCGGGAGTTCACTGCTGCAGCACATCTTTCGCCAGTTGTGGAAGCAAACAAGTGGAGGCCATTTACACCAAATAGTTGATAGTAAAGCGTGTCCTTAGCCTGAAGTTCGTCCAGCCTGGCAGAGATCAGACAGTGGCCTTGAGAGCTCCTAGTAACAATAACCGAACTTGGTGGGCCCGGAACTAGCCTTTCCGAACATGTGAAACACCGGAAACTGGGAATCTAGGGGCCGCGTTGTGGGAACCCTTTAAAGACTCAGGGCTGTGCTCATGCTGCTCTGGGCTCGCCCAGCCGGGCTCATGATTGCATAGCCACAGCTAAGAATGGTTTAGTCATGACTCAGGTCAAATGGCGGGATGCTCAGGTCCTGAAACGGAAATGGACTTTGGAGAGGTCAAGATTCGCCGCCGAGTGTCGTGGTATTTGAGTTGAGTGGGTGAGCGCGTGGGTGGCCTTACTACGCGGTGCATTGGACATTGGGGCAACCAGAGGCCGCCTCACTAGGTCATAGCCACGGGCGGGGGAGGGCGCCTACAAGTAGAAGGGCCTGTACCTCGTAGGCCCCAGCCGCCATTTAGGAGTGCCAGACGTCCGTGCGCCAGTTGGCATTCTACCCACCGAGGCCACCTAGAGCCTGGACTAGCTTAGTCAGTGGTCCAGGAACACTAGATGACGCGCGCCGCGATGTAATAACCAAAACATACGAGGAACTGCGGGGTAGAGGCCAAAGCTGTAAAAGTCGCTAAGCACATGCCGCCAAGCTCTAGCCCCTCAATTTTCTTACCCCTGAAATTCCTTACATCCTAACCCCCCGAGCCCCCTAAACTCACTCGTCTCCTTCTAACCAAGTCTGTCCTCTCTCCTGCAGTCCTCTCCCCAGTCCTCTCTCTAGCCCTCTCTCCTCCTAATCAATTTCGTTCCCTTGTGTCATAATCCAGCATTTCTCAGCCCACAAATCCTCCGAGAGCGCCCGGTGCGCTTAAATTCAGTCTGTCTCTCGATCAGCTCGCCTAATTGGACGGCACCTGCGCTTCTGCAGGTAACCCAGTCCGGCTAGCTCAGATCACTTTAAGTGGGGTCGCGACTAAGCTCGCTTACCTTAACGGTAAGATAGCCGACCGCTCTGTGTGGAGAGAATGTGCCGCTAACATCCACTTTGAATGCCTCCTAGCCCACCCATCGCACCATGCCGTCCCACCCAAGATCCTCCGCCTCGGCCGCCTCCTCTCCCCTTAAGCTCGACCTAGCACGCACCTATTACAAGGCCCGCCATCCGCGCAGCCGCTCTGACCCAATACGAGTGTCAGGTGCAGGGTCGGGTTTACGCGCTTGGCACACCTTGCCGATGAAGGAATCGACGCAGGGGGAAACACGCTTCAAGATAAGTGACCGAGTCGAGGCATATTGGATGGACGACGAGGACACGCCGCAGTCGTGCGCGGCCCTGATCATCGAGATAAGAGAAGTGAGGTGGGATAGAAACATAAGGAAGAAACATAAGAGCGTCCCGAAATTGTGCAAGGAACCTGTGACGTTGTTGATGGTGGCCTGGTTCTATGAGCCGGCGTTCGCAGCCACAATAGGTGCTCACGTAACGGCACCTACGGTATCCTCTCATATCGACATCATCAGCATCGAGTGCGTCCGGGAACGTGTGAGACCGGGGAAGCGAATTGCAATCAACGCGGTCCTCATTACTCATGCCAAGTCGGTGATTCCGGCCAATACAGTGGACTGGCTCCCCAGGCAAAGGCAGGGCCCCCCCACTCCAGTAGCCGTCCCGGTGACACAGGGCTCGTCGAACCACGACACGATGGAAGAGACGGTGGACGTTCCGCCTGTGGACAACCCTGACACCACACTCGTCACTACAGACAAGATGGACGATATACAGAACTTGTTGACCGAGGTGCGCGACGAGGTGGCCACACCACAACACGACACAGTCGCACCACACGACACAGTGTACATACCATCAGATGTGATGGTGAACCCAACGCCGCTCCCACCAGTCGACATAGTGCTCTCAGCAGACACATGATGTCATCGCCGATACCATTGCCGCTGACGGGCACGGCACCGGGAAGTTCAAGGTTATTCAAGGATCAACTGGCGAGATAAAATGGCGGAACAGTGCCACGGGAAAATACCAGGGTGGGATGTTGTCATGGGAGATTGATAGGATGGGACAAGTTGTCACGGAAGGAAACAAATTGTCATGGAAAAGTGCTGGAGTTGGAGTCTGTCTTCATGCTTGTAAGGAATTCGTCTTGGTACGTACTCTCTGTGGTGGCAACCGTCGCCGTTAATACATTAATTCAAGTCATTCGCGCGGTTGGCGTCATTCAATACCTCGTAAGCAGCTTAGCCTGTCAACCATGCTTGTTCTCCATCTGGGACCGCGTTTTCAATACCCCTCTCAATACAATTATTAATAGACCCTCTGCCGTCGCAGCTGTAGTCATGATCGTCTCGGCGAGCGTCTCTCGATCTCCGGTGTGGTAAAATGCACTACCTGCCAGCCTGTCAGAGCACCCTCGGTTGTTTGCCTCAGAGATACTCACTTTACTTGCCCAAGGTTATGCTCACGAAGAACCCTTCTCCTCTGTCTGTTCGCCCACGCGCAGCTTGCTGTCAGTTAGCCAGCTGCGGCATTGGAATACAGCTAGCTGCTTGATGATATCTGGCAGTGCGTAGCGGAATTCTTCCTAGTCGAAGCGAGTCACGTGTGGATCGGCACGGCCGAGATCGAAAAAGCAGTTGAGATCAATTTGTGGTGAGTACGTTGGCCGGTACCGGACAATTTCATTGCCACAACGCTCTGTCAAACCTATTTGGCGAGAGAAATGGCATTCGATGGCCTTTGTTGCTATCAGGGACCTACGCAACGCAGTAGGTACAAAGGAATTGGAGTAGCTGAATGCCTTGTTCTATTCACGTAGCCCTATTGACAACGACTCAACGCTTGAGAAAAAGGAAGAGTTCTCTCTCAGCCGATTCAGGTGAGAGGAGACTCTTATAGCTTCCCCTCTTTCTGTCACGTGAAAAGGGTAAGGCAGCGTTAACCGATAGCCTTGTGCCTCAACCGTCCTTTGCCTTATCCTTTCCTTTTCTTTCTATACCGTCCACCCGATTCGGGTGGAGGGCGTAGAGTACTTGGGGACAACGGTGGGCTCGTGACAGTTGCTCTGCCATTCTCGTTGTCCAGTTCCGGGTCCACACCTCCATGTACGCTTCCGAGATTTGGCCGGCCCAATGACAACTTTGATATTCGACTGGCCCGTAGTATCCTTGATTGTCGAACTCTTTGCGGATCTCAATGCTTACCCGAGGAATGTCAGGTAGGTCGCAGTTTGTAACATCCAAGTCGAGTGGACACTTGTATGCAGGACTTTCGGTAATGTTGACAGCGACGACTACGTTCCTTCCATATCTGCCTTCCAACCAAGGTTTAAGGTTTCGTTCGACTTGCTGGCAAGGTAGAGATGTGCTGATTAGAACCACCAATTTATACTCTTGATTGCCGTCGTCGCCGACTTCTTGTACCTTCATTCATGGCTCCAAGCAGATCAGCCAAGTGGCTGCCGATGAAAGACGTGACCAACTCATCAATTGGGGACGAGATGCATTGGATAGTCGCAATCGATGTGGACGCATCGTTGGAAAATCTGGGGAACCTGCAAATGCAATTAATATGCTATCCTCTGCAGAGGGCGATGAGAAACATACCCATCTTCGGGGTCATGGACGGTGAACTCGTTGCACAGTCTCAACCAGTCAGGTCGAGACAGATTGCACCGGAAAGGCTGGGAATAATCCTCCAAGGAGACGGTCACATGGTGGCTGGATTCCCAATGTCTGAAATCTAGGAGGTACTTGGACGCTTTGGCATACGGCTCGTCCCACTCAGAGACCGAGTTGCTGTTGCTGATCGAAGTTGCCTGGCTAGCGATGTTCGGATTTGATAGACTGCTGAGATTGGAGTTCGAAGCGTATGAAGGTGTGGGAGAAGCTGGGTTAAGACGCAACAGCAGCGGCTGTGAGGCGTCTGCAACAGCTTGCTCTGGTGCGAGTGAGCGATCAGCGCTAGATGGAGGCATGGTGAAGTAGTGAGGTGCGCTGATTAGAGCATTGGATTTGCTGACTGGAGTTGTTTCAGTTCTCTACACTGGTTGGTTCAGCGCAAACCAGGACAGGCAGGACGGGACGCCTTGTTCTGGGGTGATTACTTGTTAGTGAAAGAGGGGGTGGTGAGCGGGACGGCGAGTGAACTGAATTGAACGCAAAGAGACGCGCAGCCATTTGAGAACGCTTTGCACAACAAAGATCCCAAAGAGGCAGGCACATCGCTGCAAGGCTGCCATTGTATTGCGGCCCGCGGAATATAGTTGATCCGAAACCGGAGGGGCGGTGGAGGCGGAGAGGTGGCGAGTCAACTACGTCATATCTCCCGTTAAGCCTGCGCTGCCAGAAGCTTGCCAGCATCTATACCCACCGTCCAGCTATGATGTAGACATACTCTTGTCGCAGTGCCCTACCGGCGGCTTGTTCTTTCTCTCCCATCCTCACTTGCAGGCTATGAGTGAAACCCATCAGAGCCGCATTCAACTTGTTGACAACAGCACCGGCCCTCAGTTAGAACCGACAATGTCTGTGCCAGACAATAAGGAAACCGTCCCATCTCAGGACACCGAGGTCCAGGAGAAGCAAGGTGCGTTGGTCTTTGCCACAGAGAGCCTGCCCTCATTGTCTCTTGCTAACTGAAAAACGAGCAGATAGCTGGGCGTCGAAGCCGCAAAGACTAGGCGACAGCGCAGGGGAGAAGATCGAGGGCACCCTTTCCCCGGTCGGCAAACACGTCGGCAAAGGACTGGAGACGGTCGCCAGGCCTGTCGGAGGCATCGTCGATCCCACCGTCGGAAGCATCATGAGGATGGGCAAGGGCTGGGGAGAACAGCTCGGCGTCGGCTACGGGAACTATGAGGGCGGCCCAGCCAAACAAGAGGAGGCAGAGGGACAAAGAATGAAAGAGCCGTTTGGAGGCAAGGAGCAGAATGCAGACAACCCATTGGGTCTGTAGCATGCTGCCACCTCTCGCTGAGGAGACAGCTAGAAGACAGACATGACTTGGCAGAGACGTCAATGCTATGTAAATTTTACACAATCAACTTGCCAGTTCCTAGTGTTAATGAGTGCGGCAGCTTGAGGAATTGCTTACTTCATTTGGAGCAACTCATTCCGTCCACTTCTCCAGCTCGAGCCCGACAAGTATGTATGTCCTCTTGTTGATAAGGTGGACAGACGATTGATAGGATTATATTATGGCGGGAGAGGGATCGGATCGGATTGTAGATTGTCGCAGAGGGAGGATTGCAGGTGATTCTGTATGTATCCTTATTAGCATTGACTCTTTCAGCCATTGGAACGGATCAGAAAGACGTTACCAGGAGAGTAACTTATTGCTTTGAGAACTCACAGAACCAGAGCCTTGGCTGCGCTCACGGGTTATCCCACCTATCTCTTCCTCCCTCCCTCAGGCACTTACGGATTGATTGTTACAGGAAGAAAAGTCGGGTTCATCTGCAATAAGAAAGAACAACAGGGTTGTTCACGTAAAAGGGGACAGTGTCTCGTTGAGATGTCTCACGAAGGCGTATGAACTGACAGAGGCGTAGTGTTGTGTAGTGTTGTGTAGTGTTGTGCACAGTCCCACGCAGCCCCGCTGCGGCAATGGATAAACAAGTCACCGGGGGACAATCATCCTCGATGCATCTCTCTGCTTTGACAGGCTAATGGGTGCTTCTCTTGAGAAACTATCATTGGTCCAGAATTGGAGCAGCACACACCTCTGGACTTGGCGGGGTTATTTGTGGCAGCATCGTGTGTTGTGGACCCGCGTGTGTGGAGACTTGGACCACTTCTCCACAATCCGACACGTAATGGGAGCCATGTGGACCTGTTGCCGCAGCCTTGTGGCCTTGTCCCACCGGCGGCATATCACGATGTCAACCGGTCAGTCAAGATTGCCTCACATCCTCACAAACGACGTGAGTTCCCCGTAGAGAGTGTAATTTATGTCATGCTTTGCCAGACCTCTCCTCGCTGTCGCAATGCTGTTGCAATGCTGTGTTTCGCCGTCGACGGGCGGATTGGCTTGCCAGTGCAGCAACGGTGTGGATGATGGGCGCCGAGACCTGTCAAAAATGCCTCCAGCGTCTTTTCAATCACTCCCAACCACCAACCCGCCCCCCCTACCTGTCAAATATGTCAAGTTGTTTCAGGAAACAGGTTTTGTGTAGAGGATCCCTCTCTATCCCCCCTCCCAACCAGCTGGCGAACTACCGTGATCAGGAGGTGACGCAGTACCAAGGGGCTTCCAATCAGGCATAAAGGATGCCAACAGTCCTCCTTCGCCCCTTGCCTCCTTCTCCTCTAGCCAACTACAACTACGACTTAGATTCTTTCCCTTTCCACGGTCGCCTCGCCGGTTTGAAGACGCCTTATTTATTGGAAAATATGCTTTCCATCCTCCCCATCACAGCAATCATATTGCTGACCCAAAATGTGGCGGTTGACATTCTCGGCACCGCCGCGTACCGAGCACCGCAGACGCAGACCTCGTCATGGCAAACGCCCCTCAACCTCTTTGTCTGCTATCGCCAGATACAGACATCGCTTGCCATCATGGTGCTATTGGCCACCTTCATCTCAGGTTATGCAGAGAAAGTGAGCATCTTGATGTTGGTGGGAGCCATGCTCTTGTGTGAAGCATCCGCCGAGGTAAGTCCCCGTCTTATTTTGCCATGGGTGGGTTGTGGCCACTTCTAAAAGGTTGAGCAGCTCATTTGCCTGTACTTCTTGCTTCGACACCACTTCTTCCGGAGGGAGACGGCCATTTGTTGGCTCTTCACCTTGGTGTGGGCTCTTTCCTTTGGCATCGCTGCTCCCTTGTGAGTGGAACCCAGGCTGGTCCGTTCGCTCCGAAAGCGTTGACTCCTTTTCCAGGTCCCAGAGATTTCAGTTGACGCCATTTTGCCTCTGCTCCGTCGTGTCCCAGATTCTACAGATTGTCATCTGGAGCTACCTCTACAAGCACGTCTTCATTGCCGGATACCCTCTCCTCAAGAGCACCGAGCTCGGACGATACCACTGCCTGTGGGGACAGGGAAGGGCTTTCTTTGTCCTCGCTCTGTCCATCGCATTGGCGGTGCTGTCGGCCTTTTCATCGCACCATCAGCCGCTATATGCCATTGTCTGCGGGAACCTCATCATCCTCGTCCCGACCCCCAAGACATTTGTGAGATACAATCGCTCCAAGCGGCGGACCAGGTTCAACATGGAACAACAACTCGAGGACAGCACCAATCCAAGTAAGAGCGCTGTGGGCAGCTCCTCGATCGAGGAGCTCGAGGGAAAAAAGCTGGCCGTCGTTGGTGGCTCCTCGATTGAGGAAGTCGTTGCACACTCAAAGAGACAGGCACAGAAGTTGTCCACATGCACCATCTCGACAACCATGGTCCAAAAAGACGGGCACACGTTCCACTATAGCCATGAGGAGCAGCGCTACCTCTATCTCATGCAAGATCCTGGAGAATTATGCAAACTTCAAGACATCCGTCACCGCACCCCATGGCCCGTCATCTGTCCACCTGAGCAGTGCACTGCCGACGAATTCATGCAACTTGCTCAAAGCTGGCCTCTGGAGCACCCATATATGCGCGGCACACCATCTCTCTACGACATCTTCCGCGACATCTTCAACGCCGAACTGCAGAGGAACATCACCGACTTCCAACAAAAGGTTGCGTGTGACAAATGCCTGGACCGCAAGTGCTTTGCACAGTATCGTCTGATGTTCCTGCTGTTACTCAACGAGGTCGGATCAAAGATGCGCGTTCGCTTCGATGAGCACGGCGACATCTCGGCGCAAGGGACAACCATCATCGACCTTTGGCTCACCGGTGTTCAATTCGAGTCGTCGTCAACGGTTCGCATTACGTTCGACACCAATATCAATCAAAAAACAGTCGACGTTGGATTGCATGACCTTTGGAAGTTGAATTCATTCGGCATATACCTGACCGTCCCCCCCATTGTTGCTCACATTCTCCCCTCATGGAACGAATACCCTGCTGGCGGCAACTGGAGCGGGACGTGGATTTAGGTTTGGCTCGTTGCTGCCGATGCCGACTCTGCAAGCTTTTTCTCGGCACCATCCATAGTCTGTATACTAACTGTGCTCGTTCATCGGTCTTCCCTTCCTCTTCCCATCCTGCTATCCTCTCTCCTCCCCCCTCCTTTCCCTTCTTTCCTCCTTCTCTCTTCTCGTTTAAGCAGGCGTTCTAATACCCCGCCCCCCCCCCCGGGACCGATGATGTTCTAGCTAGCTGTAATGGCTGCTTTGTCTTGCGCTGTCCTCCCTCTTCTATCGTCATCGTCCCTATCACATTCCATTGTTACATCACCACTGTTGTCATCGACAACCAAAACAGAACCACCAATTCATGTGTCCATGTGTTGTAACAAGGCAAAGTGGCTATGCTATGCTGCGCTGGTAGAGTGGTAGCAGGGCGAGAGTTGTCTAGTCACATGTCAACCCAAAATTGGTTGGTAGGGGGAGTGCGGAACAGTTTAGAGTGCTGGCAGAGTGCTATTCTTTACAGTTTGAGCAGAGTATCATGAATTCCATGGACTTTTGGTGCCGTCTACCTAGTTCCTGAGTGTTTTGTCAGTCCTGTCCGGCTCCTCGATGCCGCCGTGCTAGGCGTGCGTTGTCCTAGCCCCCGCCGCTCCCGGGGGGGGGGAAGATGGTGGTGGTGTTGTCTTGTCAGCCCCAACCAAAAACGTGTTCTCGATTCCCGACCTGCTGGACAGGCCTCTGTGCGTTGTTGCACGTACACGCCGAACTCTGAAGTGCTCTATTACAGTATCACACCTGCGCTAGCACACAATTACCTAGGTGTTCATTGGACTTTGTCTCCGTCGTTGTAATCATACATAAAAGGGCATGGCCCTGTGAGTGCCCGATCACGCCCTATCTTTCATTGCTAACGTCCTGGATATCATGCATCTTGTAACAAATGAATAGATGTACAGGCCATCTGCTGCAACTCCTTCATGAAATCTGTTCTTTGCTTCTTTCTTCAGAGTTTTCAGCAATCTTGGACCATGCAAACGATACAGCACGTAAAATGATTGACAATCTTTTGCCGCGTCCAATTAATTCAATGCTTCTGAAGTCTCGAGCACAAGAATGCATGGCCTCTCACCTATCCTTGTTCGAGTCTGCCGGTCTGGCTTCATTAGAGACCGATCTGCCCGCATCCCGTTGCTGCGCTTACCCCGGAAACGGCATTAACCCTGGTCTCTGGACAGGCCACGCTTCATTCGCTTGCCCCGACACGGCCTCGTGTGGGTCATCTGGTGTCAAATCCGGAGAACTTTCGCCATCGGTATCTGGATCCCCCTCAACCCTCTCATCCAAGGAATCGGCTTGTCGAAGAATGAAACAAAGTTCTTCTACCGATAGCTCTATGTTCCGACCGTGTAAGAATGGCGGGATGAGTTCTTGAGGTGCAAAGTCGAGCACGGTGATTCGCAAGGGCGGTCCCGGGACAAGTGTGCCAGTTTCTGTGCGGAGCTCCTAGGCGTAATTGTAAGTAGATACTTCACAGTCAATATGGAAGGCCGATACTGACTTGGACTCGGCATCCAAGCCGTAATCCGGCGGGGTCAGTGTAGTCTCGTCTCCATGTGCACAGTGTAACTTTGGATGTGCGATTGTGGTCGTAGTCAACGGCGATCAACAATCGGGCCTTCCGGTTGCTTTTGAGGATGTGGAACTCAGCCAGCTCTGGCATTCTGTTCCGCTTCTGCGAATATGCGATTTCGACAGGGAGACCACACCTCGGTAGGTTGGCGTGTGAGAAAAAAATATCCGGCTGGTGTAGATCACGGCTCGAGTTGGAGGCTGCTTTCGTGCCAGGGGGGGTGGCATGCACAATCCTGGCCCCAAATTCTTCTGCTTCACCTCCCATTCCCGAGCACAACCTTGTCAGCTTTTGGAGGACGTTCCGTGCCAGGGATTGTCGCAAGAGCTCGTGAGCCAGAGAGGGTATTTGGTGAACGAAGGTCTCCGAGTGGCAGAAATAGCCATACCTATCTCCAGGTGTCAGCAGTAATCAAGTTGAAGACAACCCCCTTTCCTCTTTTCGCCTCTAACATACTGGATCTGCTCGCGCGACTCGGCGAGGCATGTGTTGAGAGCATCCCAGGCACGGCCACCAAGAGGGTACTCGGTCCAGCAGGAGGCATCACGTGCGGCCAGGGCGGTGCGCGTGGTGAGAGCTTCAAACATCGAAGTCGCCTCTTGTCTAACTTCCCTCTCGGCTTTCTCCTGTGCGAGAATTACACCTAATGCTTCTCTGACGGTTGGTTCATCAACCGTACCATGCTCATCTGAGGCGCTAGGATCGTCCGTGGTCTGGGATGCGAGATTGTCAGTGAGTTGAGGAACGAGATTGTCTCTGGGCTGAGGAGCGAGCCTGTTTGATGATTGAGGGATGAGACCGTTCATGGGCCGAAGAGGGAGGCCGTCCATGGTTCAAGGCCAACTTCGTGCGTTGTGAAAATGGGCTTGGGGGCAGACGAATGGTAATAGAGAGGCGAAGGTCGAGTGAGGCAGCAGAGACACGGAGGTTGTTTGGCGGCACGACTTGGTCTGTGCAAGAAGTCAGGAAACAAAAGCTGTTTACTAAGACAAGGAAAGAACAAGTCTAGAAACATGATCGCACTTGCCTCTATCCCCTCTCACCGCCTGCAGTGCTCGACAAGACCCCAAGAAGATGAATCAGGCGGTGAGCCAGAGCTGCAGGGGAAGAGGTGATTCTAGTTGTGACTGACTCTACAGAAGACGATGGAGACTGGGTAAAAGATTCCGGACCTGAGGGCCGACTCGGGTGGTGAGCGGAGGAATGGCGAGCATGGCGAAGAGATCTTCTACGACTTTCTACAAGCTCACACCGTGAACTCGAGGAATCGCGAAATATTGGATGCAGTCCCAGTCTCCAGGTAACATCCCGATTCCCAGTATACCTGTCGATGGCAACGTGAAAATTAGACACCGAAACCGGCTTCGATGTACAGACTCCGGTTGCAAGATGACTTTGCAGAAATGTGTTGTTTCGTGGTGCGAAGCCACAAATGCCCTGCTTAGGTTTCCTCATTCAGCGCGGCTGTCTGTCGAGGTATCACCTGGTGATGTACCACAGAGCAAGATATTGTTGTTACTGAACTTGCATAGAATTCTTTCCACGCCGGAGCAAAACCTGCTGTTGGTATAGGTGCCGGCTTATTGGGAGGGATTCATTGAGATAGCCTGCCTAACTTGGGTGAGATCACAGCAATTCCCATAAGAGCACCGAGAAAACTCACCCTTCATCGGTCAACGGAGACCAACTAGCTGTCTGGAAGTGGTTGGTTCCACTGCCCATACATCGGAGGTCCTCTTGCTCGAAACTCATTGAACTGGTTATCTGCCTCGCTGGCAGCGGCTCCGAAAGGTCGTTTACATTTCTGAATGGCGTTGTTAGAACAGGGGAAGGCAAGAAATGCGACAACGAGAGCGGTATGACAGCAAAATCCTCGTGTAAGCTTGAAGACACTTACCCACGACCAATATTTCGAGTTGGCGCTAAATCTTTTGTCAGTATACACCAGGAATGCACAGAGACGGTAGAGTAGACTTGACTCACTACCAGACGTAGTTGTCCGCGTTTTGGATTGCTTGCGAATACCCTGTGCGAGAGTTTTTGGCGAACTTTGCCAGTTTGGCAGCGTTGAATGGACCGTAGGGGTCCGGAAACGACCCGGCAAGTTTGTAATCAGCAATTTGCGGTCCGAATTGGCCGCCGCCATCGATGACCTGCGAGTACACGGAGTTACTTTTGAACAGCTCCGGCCACTGTCTATTTCTGTTAGCGGATGCCCTCGCGGTAGGGGGATTAGAAATAGCCACGTCAAAAACGGCACCGGAGGGCAAGGGAACTTGCGTGTAACATTTCGTGCAACAGAGAAGACCCAATTGTTCTCATGTCTCCGGTATCTCTGTCTCCCAAACCATCACAGCTCCACCCACTCGTAAAGTCCTGCCCTGGGCCTTTCCTGGCCCAATCTGGAGGGTTTTCGGTGGTGGCCAGGTCGACGCAAGTCTGCCAATTTATGGCTTTTGGGCACATCCCCAAGTATCCCGAAACATTGGGATAATCTGACCGAGCCGGATCGTTCTCCTCTCTCGGTGCCTTGCCGTCGTATGTGAGGTAGCCATTTACGCCCTGCATGTTGCAACTGCCACCAGCGGGAATGTCCCATGGACTCTTGGGGTAGTCGAGAAACGAGAGCAGCAATTTATCCCACACCGGGCTCAAAGTGTCCTATCAAGTTTCAGCATCGTCGATGCTGTATTTGCGTGGTCGAAATCAACTTTTGGCTTTTGCGCCATTTTGATATCGAACATGCCTCAGACTTACGGCAGGATTTGTGTTTTGCAACATAGCCAGGACTTCCTCTGGAGTATCTGTGTTCTTAGGCGGACGAACATTGGCAATCCTTGCGACTATTGCTCTGTCAGCTTGTTCCCCACCAGCGAAGGCGAACTTCAATGGTTTTTCCAGCAATATGGAGTACACCAAATCCAAGACACTTACACAAAGCCTGTACAAAGCCGTAATCTTGTTCTTGGAAGTATCGCAAAAAGGCCTTATGGCGTCGCGGTTAGTGTCAGAATCTCAAGTAATCAAAATGTTTCGCTCAGCATATCTTACCGGATCACACGCATTCCCTGTCAGGACCACCACCCGCGCGAGAGTGACGGCGTCTTGGAAAGCCTGGTCTACAACACCCTTCCAGGTCGGATAGTCAGCTTGGAATTTTGGGTCGGTTTCGAAGTACTCTGGAAACCAGACTTTCGGAAGGCTTGCAAGACTGAATCCAAAGCTTAGAAAGGAGAGGAGGAGTAAGGACAAAATCATCTTGGCGGCGTCGTAGTGTCCCGCCAGATAGCGAGAGAACCAACGTCCGAGTGGAGGTCACGGTAGAACAGTGTCGCGCGGTGCAATGTATCCTGTTCCGTTTCCGTAGGCAGGAAGGGCATCACGGTTAGATCGAGCCTTCCAGAGACAGAATCTCTTTCTGCTTTAACCGCAATGATCTCCAGAAGTGGAAATTCACCTCTGAGGGCTTCACTTCGGGAAGTTCACTTCTGGTGTCACGGTAGTAGAGAGGAGTTACGCAAGGCATCATTCATCCTGAAGATGGACGGAACTTGCGCATGTGTGAAGCGCTGGAATGAATCTGTCCGCGTACCTTCGGCGGTCGCCTTTCGCCACGCACATATGGCTTTAAATGCGTGCAGTCCCTCGATGCATCGCGGATACTTGATATCAAATGCAGCGGAGACGAGACTGTGGCCAGTAGCTCTCAGCCCTTTAAAAAGGGACGATAGTCCCTGGAGATTGAGCTGCAAGTCTTTCGGCCACGGCTATTTGAACATCTTCGCTCGCCATTGGGGCTTGAAGACGAGCGAGAAACTAGCCTGTCTAATGAAGACTTCGTTTACGGCTTCTGCATGCGGGCAGTTTCTTGAAGTCGAGATTCGGTCAAAAGTGCTGGGTTTTGTGTGTTTGAGCTCCTCCTAAGCGAGTCAATGATCAGTGTTAGACGTTAACGACGAGGCTGTCGACCTCACAAGAATCGAAGACTCAGCTGTGATGCATTTCAATGTCAAGTATCTCAGTTGCAGTGGTTTTTCGATACAGTATCGGACTTATCGATACAATACCAGTACTGTATTAGATGAGACCGGTATTGTAATGATACTTTCAGTGGTAGCACGTGATTTCTGTATTAGGGCTAGAGTGTATTGATCTCCCGGGGTTCGGTCCGAAAGTTAACCATTACCCCTACTTTTATCGTCAAGAGAAATACCAAGAAGTATCATAATACTTTCGATTCATCTCGCGCCGGCTAAAACTAGTATTGTATTAATACTCATCCATGCCCGAGGTATCGAAAACCCCTCTCCGAGAAAGTCCACGATATCTGGATCGGCGCCGTTCTCCAGTTGAAATCAGGCCACTTCTAGCTTTCCACGCTGAGCTGCCTCATGAAGAGGAATGTCACGTCCTGTCGATTAGCGACTTCGAGAGGTTCCCTCGTGACGTTCGCCACTTGAAGGCTATCGTGGAATCCGGTGGCGGGCATCTCCCGTATGACGGAAAACAACTCGTAGCCAGATATCGCCACATCCTTTGATGAGACCTACCAAGACTTTTGAGTTCTCCATGTCCGCGAGGTGCTAAAAGCTCTAGTGCAGGACAACGGTGCGAATGCATGTTCTTGAGGAGTCATCGTTCAGACTTATTCTGAGTAATCTGGAGAGCGATAGGGAGACAGTTCATCGAGCATCGAGTCCCATAGGGTGGGGGCCGAGATGTTATCTCTTGAATTATGACGTCCTATCTCCAGCCCGACGACCTCAAAACTGCTTGGTGGCCTCGCGCTCAATCTGGGCCACTCGTTTCGTTGCCGCCAGAGCATCCCCAAAATAGACGTTGTCGTCGTGGGACATGTTCGCCGACCGGGAGCAGCTTGGAAGTCAGCTCGCCCTGACCGCGACGAATCGAATAGTGTGCCATTTGCAGTATTGTGTGCCCACCAGGTGAAAAATTGTAGAGGAGAGTTAGGTGGAAGCATCGCCAAGTGGCAGCGAAGTTCAACGTTTTGAGGTGGGCTTGGCGCTTAGTAATACCAACTGTGGCTAGGCGTGCTCGGCTTCTGTGCCGACATCAGGTGACCGAAGCCTCACTCGCTTGGCTCTGAGCTGCCAAGCCGGAATGCGATAGGCAAACGTCCCCTCAATGCCACCAAGCCACGACAAGATTTCCTGCACAAATCCGCCGCCAACGGCGATATACATGTGCCTCAGGGATATCTGTCCTGTGCCGACATTTGGGACGAACCCAACGTGCATAGTCTCTGTCAAGATCAAGCAAGATGAAGCTGATCCTCTCAACCTCGTATGTCCGCGCGGAAGGTTTCCCATCCCCCCGAAAATGACGCGCAGTCCTCCATCGCTGACATATGCTCGATAATGCAGTAATATAATGTCCTCGGGACATCCCGTCGTACGGCGGCCACTGTTCTCGAAATCGAACATCGAGCTCATCAATTCTCTGCGCGCAAACTTTGATTCCTTCAAACATTACTCTCCTCCTTCCCCCGCTGGGAATGTCGCTCCTCCCATATGGACGACGCAAGACGGCGACACTCTCTTTGTGCCTTCATGGCGGCCAACCCCGCTCGTCGAGCCCCGCGATTCGTACGACGTTACATGCAAACTATTCTTCCTTCCCGGCATACCGAGTACTCGGCGGTGCCGACACACGCGAGAAGCTATTAGCATGGTGCTGAAAGAGCTAGGTATTCATACCATTGACCTGTTGATCGTTTCGTATCCCGGTGTCAGCTTTGACGCAGATGATGAAGAAGAAGAAGACGTTGAGGAGGCGGAGGTGGCCTCCGCCCGTGAAAATCAGAGCGACGCCAGCGGCGAGTCGCAAGACTTGGATGCGCAGGTCAAGACCTGGCGGGTGCTAGAATCGTTGTATGATGAGGGCGTCATTTCCCAGCTGGGCGTATCCGAGTTTAGTTCGGAACGGCTTGCAAGATTTCTTCCAGAGGTCCGAGTCCGTCCCACCGTTGACCAGATCAACGTGAAGGACTGCTGTGTCGTGCCGAAGTCGCTGATCACGTACGCAAAGGAGAACAAGATTGAGCTATTGACGCATGCGGATTGTATGGATATTCTCCCGCCCGGAACGACGAGGGAACTGTTAGGGCCCGGTAAAGATGGTGCCGGCATCCTCGCGGCGCAACTGGACGCCGGACCTGAAGAACCCGGATTGAAGGGTGACATCGAGCCGCAATGGGTGATCAAGTATACCGCCGTGGTCAAAAACCGTGGTGTCATCGAAAACAAAGGGTATTTTGCCGTCGCACAGCTGGGATGTTGTATCGAGGAGAAACCAGTCGAGGGCGAAGCATCATGAGGTCAGCATTCTTCGGAGTGGTAGTAACATTGAGTTTTAGCATGGCGTTGGGATGTGCGGCTTTCGTCAAAGATGTCCCAAAGATTTCTTTCGCCTCCATTCATCCAACCATACTTCTCTTCCTCCCTCTCAGCCTCACTTCCTCCAATCTCTTCAGCACGACGTTGGATCCCTTGAAACTGCCCCTGTAGCCCTCTTGACTCTGTAGGACTTCGGCATCGAACCACCCCTCCTGTCGCGGGTGTGTCGATCCAAATGCTCGCTCGAGCACATAGAGATCCACAGCCCTGTCTTCATCCTGGACTGATTGTGTCGCGAGGCCAAAGTCGATGAGAACGATGTCGCCAGTCAAATCCGGCGGTTGCTGCGGCGCAGACTTGTCTGCCTCCAGCGGTAGACTCGGCTCTCTTACCCCATGCTCGCCATGAACGATTCCGATCTTCTGCCCATCAGTGTCCGCTGTGGTGGGGGATGGCCGGATCATGATGTTGCTGCTCGTCAAGTCCCCATGGACCACACCTCCTTTGGAATGCATCGCTCCCACAGCGCGGCCGATGCGGCGTAGTAATATTTTCACGGCCTCTTCTTGCCCGGCAATCTCGTCCGCCCGACGCGACTGATCTCCGTCCGAGTGCGCATGATCCCGGCTCGCGTTGACGCCGAGAGACTTGTACCAGACGTCCCAGTCGCGCAGCAAGTCCTTGACGCTGCGTCCTTCGATCCACTCCATTAGGAGCCACGCCCCTTGTCCTGCAACGGAGCTCGTGGTCTCATTCACCCCTCTCCGCAAGTCACTCGCGCCGCGGACCTTGCGCGCGATGTCCCACTCCAAACTCAACACCGCGGGGACTTTGACCCCGTCCTCGTGCCCCGCGCAGCTAGCCAGCGCCGACAACTTGACCAGGATGCGAGCTTCGGCCAGCACCCTCTGCTTCGTCAACCGAGCATCGAGTGTCGGGTGTCTGTATGCTTTGCTTGGCCGGAATTTCAAGGCTGCGGGCTGCGCTGGGTGGAGGAAGTGGGTGCGGTAAAGGAGGGCTTCGGCGCCTTGGGTTATCAGTGTCGGTGAGGGTTCAGTGGCGTGGAAGGGTGAAGGGAGGGGTGGTTTTTCCTGACTCTGGGATACGAGAGGCTCAGGGGGTGGAGGGTGCGTCGTGTCTGTGGTTGTGCTTGTTTCCGCCATGGTGAGGGTGGGAGATGGTGTTGTTTAGCCGGGTTGGCGGGGGAGATCAACGTTCGGCCGCCTTGGGCCTCTGGGATATATAGAAGCAGATCGATTGATCAATATCTCAGGGGAGATCGGTGCAGAACGGACCTGTGTGCACAGGGAAAGACGGAATACATAGACAGAAAAGACGTGGCTGATAGTATGCGTGCGCTCAAAAGCTCTCAAGTTTGTCTTGTTCGCTTTGCTGGAGTGTGGGGTCTTAGCGCAGCCTCGCCACCGCCACTTGACTAACCTTGGCATCCGCAAGGCTGATGGGTGCACATGTCTCTTCGAAAATCGTCACGGTCCGTGGCATCTTTTCGAGTGAGCTCATCATTCCCGACGGCGGCCAACCTGAATAGCTCCTATCCGAAATTTTAAATTTTTGTATGGGAATTTATATTCTAAAATGCTGTGGGTATCTTTCTAGATAGCTCCACATCTACAAACCTGTTTGCGAAACGTCATCTACATTAACCAATGTCCCTATAACATTCTCTGTAATACTGGATTTCAACAACGGTTGACGCTGCGGGAATATTTTGTTGCGAACATGGTCAGTATTGGTGGATAACAGCCAAGGGCTGAGAGCTTTTGTCCGATACGAACAATGACGGCACAACAGAGGACTCACACCTGATACGGCTCCTTTCGTGCTTGATGGAAGCGGAAACGTTGCTTCTACAGAACCTGCGATTTTCAACTAAATTTTCAAAATCTGCATATGAGGTAGGAGTGATATGGGCCTCACATGTATAGGCTAGCCGTAAACACCACGTCTCGTCTGATCATCTCCCTGGCCTTGTCCATCTTCCCATATAGAGACGGATCTCCAATCAACCTCGCCGCGCTCATCACCTCCCTGCACGTCTCATCCAGCCTCGTGATAACTCTGACAATAGTGCCCTCCATTACGTCCGTCAGATCGGTGATGCGGTTGAACGACATCCCTCTGGCCCACTCAAAGACCACTTCGACCAGCCCAAAGCGTTGTCTTGAGACGAAATCATTGGCGTCGTCCGAGGACAGGATCACTTGATGCAGGATCTGGTAGTGGTTCACTCTTTCCGAGACTGCAATGATGGCTTCTTTGCCACGCTCGAGGTTCCCGCTGAGTTGGGGTTCACTATCCGTCTTTTCTTGGAAGACAAAGGACGAAAGGAGGGCAACGATTTCTTCGGGCTCAAAGCTAGGCCCCTGTCAGTATGACCAGGGGGTTGTCTTGAGGAGAAAGTACTTACGACGCAAGAACATTCTCCAGAATAAGTTCAGTCAGCACAAGCTCGTCGGCCGAGTGGATCTCGCAAGCCACTTTGCCCTTCAGCTGGACGCGAGACTGTTCGTCGATGAACCCGAGATCCTTCAACACCGCAGTCCTCTGCTGGTAGTCCGGCAAGAGAGACAAATTCTGGTCAGACATCAGCATCTTCAAAGATTGGATATTTTCCTGGATTAGCCATTCGTCATGTTGCATGCCGTAGTGCTTTAAAAACTGCGGACACAGCAAGCATTGACTATTCTCGAAGACCCGAGCAGCATGGCTCCTCTTGACCAGCAAATCGCGAAGATGCAGTTCGTGCACTTTGCTCCAGTCTTGCTCGTCCCACGCTGTTGAGGCCCAGGAAGAATAGAGGTTGACGAATTCTTCCTCAACAAATTGCCGTTGCGCCTCATCCGACTGGAGCAGCGACCGCAAATCGACCTATTGGTTTCCCAAAAATTGTAAGAAAATGGGTAAGTATCACATTTTGGCGTCCTAATGAACCTGTGAGGGCCAACTGACCTTGACAACCGTCTGGGTAACACATTCCACATCGTCCAACAAAACTTGGGCAATGCGCCATTTGACCTGGGAAGCCGTTTCTGGAAGAGCTGAGAACATCATGCGCACACAGGGTAGGTATGGCAAAAGATCTGGCGTCGATCGCTTTGCGTCAATGTGTGATATTTCAAGGACTTTGAGGCCTCGATCTGGCCCGCCTCGAACTCCATCTTCAAGGAGCATTCCAACTGTGCGTATGGCGTCCTACACCGAGTTGAGAAGAATGACGAAAAAAGACAAAATGGGGGTTCTCACCTTCTTGAAAACTATCAATCTCTTTGCAGTCCAGAGACGGCGTCCGACTGGAGACGACAACAAGCCTATGTAGAGTTCCTTTGTTATGCGTTCGAATTGCATGGCGGCTTCGTGACAGATCTCCGCGTCAATGTCGCATGTGTCGCAAGGTTCCCGTTTGATCTTGTCCAGAGTTGCCTGGGATAGCGCGACCTGCTCCTGGTGTTGAGGTAATAATGCTTGCGTAGCATTCTCGGAGAAGCTCCGTTTTATCATTTCCTCAATTTTCAGAGCCTCGACCCGCATGAGGTTCAGAATCATGTTGTAATGCAGTCTAAACTGGCTGCGCAGTTTGGTGGCAGGACCCGTGATCATCTGAGTCAATTCTGCGGCCGAGGGTGCCTCGGTCTTGCCTGGCGTGACGATGATGACCGTTCCAACGGTGTCGAGGCCTCGACGACCGGCGCGGCCGGCCATTTGAGTGTACTCTCCAGGGAGCAAGTTTCGAAATTCGCGGCCATCGTGCTTACGGTATCCTGAGAAGACCACGGTACGCGTGGGCAGATTGAGGCCCATGGCAAATGTCTCCGTGGCAAACAGCACCTTCACCAACGTTTTTGCGAAAAGAATCTCAACGATTTCTTTCACAATGGGCAAAAGGCCTCCGTGGTGGACAGCGACACCGCGGCCCAGCATCTCTCGCAGGCGTCTGATTTGAGGCAGCACCCGGTCCTCAGGTTTGAGTCTCGCGATCGACCTTTCGACAACCATGTGGATGGCGCTCTTCTCGGTTGCGGTGCAGAAGTCTTGGTTCGAGAGAGAATCGGCATTCTCTTCGCATCTCTTCTTTGAAAAGACGAAGATACAGGCTGGGAGGAGATTCTCTTTTCGCAAGTACTGGACAAGATGCACCCAGATGTTCCTGTCTTGAGCAGCCGTCGTCCTCCCGCCCCCACGTCCTGTTCGCGCAATATTACCCTGACCGCGGTTCGGGGCAGGCCCGCGTCCTCGCTGCTGTGCACCCCCTCTTTGAGTGGACGGGCCGCGGGCAGGCTGGCCGCGACCGCCTCCTCGTTGTCCAGGTGCCTGGCCTTCCCGAGCAGCCGTGTGAGCCTCGATGGCTTTCTGCTCTTTGATTTTATCCAGTCCTGATAAGATGTCGTTGGCAGCTCTCCATCCACTCTGGAGGAAGCGTTTCTCTGAATCTACAATCTTGTGCATCTCTTTGCCAGCCCACAGGTAATGCTCCAACGGTACGGGTCTCTTGGGCGTGGAGATGACGTAGATATCCTTCTTCTTGGTACGCCCAACCCAGGACGCAAATTCGTAGGTGTTGGGCACGGTGGCGGAGAGGAGGATAAGTGTGACGTGATCGGGTAACATGATAATGACCTCCTCCCAGACCACTCCTCGCTCAAGGTCATTGACATAGTGCACTTCATCAAAGATGACAAACTCTACATCCCGAATGAGGTCGGCACCGCGGTAGAGCATACTACGCAAAATTTCCGTTGTCATGATGAGACAGCTCGCTTCTGGATTGATCTGGACATCGCCGGTCAATATGCCCACGTCATCGAAGATGTTCTTGAAATCCCGGAACTTCTGATTGGAAAGGGCCTTGATAGGGGACGTGTAGATGGCTTTGGTCATATGCTTCGCAGCCAGGGCGATGGCATATTCTGCAACCACAGTCTTTCCCGCCGAGGTGTGGGCCGCCACAAACACTGAGTCGCCGCTTTCAAGATGATAGACTGCTTCTTTCTGAAAAGTGTCGAGTTCGAACGGCCACGTCCGCGCCATGTCGGGGACCAATTCTTGGAAGTTTGGAATAGCCTTGTTGATGTCCACCACGTGAGCCCATTTTTTACCCGGTCCCTTGGTGGTTGCGGGTAGTAATTTCCCACGCGGCGCCAGAGATGGAAATTCGACTGGAAGCAGATCGTCGAGATCGGCATATTCTTCCTCGTCATCTTGCACGATTGAAGGTCCATTTCCCGACTCAGCCGTACTGTCTCCGTGGTGGTCAAGGGCTGAGGAGCCTGGGCCAGCTTCCCCGGTAGCATTCAATGTCTGTTCCACGTCCTCGGCATCTGCTTGGGCCTCACCTGGTCCCTTTTCGGCAAGTTTCATGCCCCTGGCAAAGCCCGGGGGCACCTCGAGAAGGCCACCACCGACTCCGAAGTTGATGACACGAGCGAGCCCGTTGGATTTTTGGATTGGTCGGGAGTTTTCTCTCCCTTCCTCCAGCCTGACTTGGTCTTCGTAAGCTTGAATGGTGTCGACTCCATCCAGGCCACCAGGGGCGAAGGGGAAGAAGCCCGCGGCGCCTCGCACAAAGTCGGCTCGATTCGCTGGTTTCCGCAGCAGTGAGGTGGAGTTTTTGGCAGTATCGCCGGATGCGGAAGCGGACAGCGTGACCTGTCGATAGGCGGCGACTTTCCCTTCCAGGCCGTGTCGGGTGAAGCGAGTGATGGTCCTTGTCTGGGGAGGGGGCAATCGACACAGCTCTGCGTAGTGGGCGGATTGGCCATCCCATCGTGCCTGCAGCTTGTTCAGCCATTCTGGCGAGAAGGTTGATGGTGGCGACAGAAACTGGGTTTGCAACTCATGTTTGAGGTGTTGCTCGGGGGCGTCGCTCTTGGGCGTGTACAATGGGCGAGCCATGGGCGCGAGGGGCAGGGGCGCTGGCTGTGGTGACGAGGAGGTTTCCGGTGTTGAGGCCATAGGAGTCGCGCTCAGTCGCACCAGAGTCACCAGCCGGGGTTGACGGAATAAAATCCCAATCTTACATGAAAGATTCAATAACCAGTAAGTTCCATGTGTTCGATTGGAAAAGTCAGAAGCTTTTCACACGAGTGGAGCTCTACTTTTGCTATTTTAGGCGGCCGACTATCACTTCCTCCATTCTTGCACGAGGTGCGGGAGGGAAGAACTATATAACCCTTTTAACGACTTATTAGACCAATCTTGATAAAAAATCACGAAGTTTCGATGTTCATGACATTCTTCTTTCACGGAAAATTCGTGAAATCTTACATCCAGGTCACGTGCGTGACGCCAGGTTCTCGCCTCAGCATGCCAAGGTTGTGCCAAGCCGTTCTCTAAACGCCCCACATGGGTTGCGAGGATGTGAAGATTGGCGGGTGCCGCCGCTAGCATCGTCACCGAAGTGGCGAGGCCGCCTACTGGTGCGAGCGAGGCCAGTCACCGCTCCCTAATTCGTAAAGCCGACGGGAGTGGATGCACTAGGGCTACTAGCGCCGGCTAGCTGACCAGGGGCCTCGTCTGACTACTGGCGTTCTTAGTCTGGCTAGCTCCTTCGGCCCGGCAGAGGCCCACAGGCCCATGGCAGCTCGTGCAACTTTTCTTTCTGTTTTTGGCTCCTGGGAGGCCGCCTTCCCCCCAGGAATAACTAACCACTAACCAGAGGGTGAGGGGGTGTGAGGAAGGTAAGATGAGTGTGCAGTGCGTAGAGCGTGTGACGCTGAAGTGGGCCTATCGATGGCCCCTGATGGCTCCTCTACCTGCTTTTGCAGTACCCAGGCTACTCCACTCCTCTTCCGCTCTTCTTCTGCCTCTTGACCCAGGCCGTAGTTTCTCTTCCTCTATAACTACCAGCTCTACGAACAACTACCAACTACCGGCGGCAAACACCCCCAAGGGAACAGTAGTCTAATCTAGGTCTGGCTGCCGTCTGGACAGTTGGCTCCTAATCGCCCAGACTATCACCCAGACTATCACTTCATTCATTCGCCCTCGCCCCTCCATGGCGGGATTCTGCCGCCAACCAACATGACTGAGCTTTTTCAGCGGTCCAATGCTCCAGCAAATCGCAGGTACACCGTCCCCTCCAGCTGAAGCCCTAAACACCTCTCGACAACATCATATCCCCCTCGTAGAGGAAATATGGACCCGCGGAAGAGTAAGCACGCCTTTGACCTCCCCAGGCTCAAGACGACTTACTCACGACCCGCTCGCGGTCGATTCACCTTCTACGACGTCAAATTCTGGCCGTATGCCGCCGCCTCATGCGATGGACCGATCTTCGCCGTTGCTGCCCAGAGGGGGATCATTGTGGGTCGCTTGTCCAACAAATCCCAGTCTGTAGTCACCATCCTCCAAGATCTCTGGGATTTTCAAGATGATCACGCCGCATCTCCGAATCTGAATTCGTGCGCTTGGTGCTACATCGATCGGCAGAGACCTTTGTTGGTAGTCGGCGGCGGTTCAGGCCAACTCAAGGTTGTTGACGTTCTCCACGCCCAACCTGTTGCCACTCTGCTGGGCCATGGACGGGCAGCCATCAATGACATCGCTGTTCATCCTCTCTATCCGTGGATCGTCGCCACCGCTTCGCAGGATGGGGCGCTTCGAGTCTGGGATCTACGCCGACACCGCTTGCGCCACCACGCACCATCCATCATCCTCTGTGGTGATGGAACCGAAGGACACCGCGCCGGCGTCTTGTCACTTGCATGGCACCAGACCGGCCGCTACTTGGTATCGGGCGGCCACGATCACCGCATCTGTGTGTGGACCATACCCGACCTTGAGGATGGCTCTCCCTTTTGGGACACAGTTTGTCCAGAGCTGGTAGAGCGACGCTCGAACGAGACATTTGTCATACACTGTCCTCACTTCGTCACCCAGGCCGTCCATACCCAGTACATTGACTGTGCCAGGTTCTTTGGCGATTTGCTTGTGACAAAGGCTGCCGTTGAAGGCAAGATTGTGTTCTGGAAGATCACCGGCTTCGACTCAGGAAGATGCCCTCCAACTGCAACGACAGCCCCCAAACTCGAGGGTCACCTCGACACGCGCAACGGCTTCATGCGTACCGTTATCACCGATAAGGATGGCTATGAACGTGTGGGGATTCGAAGCGATTGCAAGAACAAGCCTCCTTACCGAAGGCTCCTGGAGTTTGAGACTCCCCACGACCAGGTATTCTACATGCGGTTCGGCCTGCTATTGCCTTCGCAGGCCTATCCAGACATACATCCGGTGCTAGCGTTCGGCAACGCCGCTTCTGAACTTCGCTTCTGGGATCTCGAGCGGTTGTCTGTGGGGCATGCTGGCGAAGTCTATCCGGACGCCCATCCTCGTCGCGCTGGCAGAAAAAGAAAGAGGCCGGCAACCGAAGTCGTACCCACAGCAGAACAACCAGAGAAACGACCTCGAAATCCCGACACCGCTCCCTTAGCCCCTGAAAGATGGTCTTCGAGGCTCAAGCAAGACCCTCCAGCTACCGAGATTGGGAATATAGAGACCAAGGAAGAGGTTGTAGGGATCAGGCAAGGGTCTGCACAGATCAAGATCGAGCCCGTAGAGATTCGGCAGGAGTCTCCAGGTCCTATATCACAGACTCCTCCGGCTCGACATGTCAATGTTACAAGAATTCCGAGTCAATTAGTGTCGGACGTCGCTCAACCCTCTCAGGAAACTCCAGTCACCAAAAGAGAGACAAATTCTGTCGGGAGATCGACTGCGATAAAATCAAATGGCATCCCTCCATCTCCAGACACTCCAGCTGCCACCACAGAACTAAACCCTGTCAGAAGATCGCGTCGTCTTTTGAAGCCACCGTCTCCGCCCGCTTCAGATGGCTCAGAAGATCGAAGTCGTAGCAGGTCGCCGTCTATCGAAGCAGGCGCATCAGGCACCGCGCTCCCATCTCCAGAGACTTCACCAGAAGCAGATCTTGTCAGAAGGTCGACTCGTTTAAAACGGAAGGCTTCGAATGTATTTCCGGAAACTGTAGATGGCCCAGGAGATACCATTCCCGCCAAAAGGTTTTTGCCTTCTCCGGGTCCCGGAGAAGAGAGTCGTAATACAACACAAGGGCAGGAAGGGTCTGCTCATTCTCTGGAAAACGCGAGACGGAAGTCTCTGACGCCAGAGTGTGAGGTAGAGATCTTGGCAAGTATAGAGGCCGACGAAGAGTCTTCTGGCACTCTAGAGGTCGAGCGAGAGGGGTCTGCCAGTTCGATTATCGAGAAAGAGGCTTCCTACAGCGTAGAGTTTGTGCGAGCAAGGCCTCTGGCTCTAGACTTCGCGTCAATGTGTGGCGACTCTATGGACATGGACAAATGTTCTCTGAACATCAAAAAAGCCCCCATGGATGTTGACACGCCAGAGTCCCGTACATCACGGATGTCTGATCTGAAGTCAAGCCTGCTAGGGTCCCAATTCAACTCTACTGAGGAGGGCAACAAACCCTCGACGGCCGCGGACTCCACACTAGTTCGCTTTTCGGTCATAGACGACGAGGACTACGTCTCCATCAACGACCCTGAAAATCCTCCTTTTCACGCCCCCGACCGTGAAAAATATCCAGTCGACGAGCCCCACATGCCTCTCAAATCACACGCGAGGGTTGTGGTTCATAAGCTCCAATACAAGAAGCGAGCCCCGTTTGTGGCGCGAGCAGTGGATTGGAGCCCTTGCGGGAGGTGGTGCATAGCAGTTGGAGAGTCCTGCCTCAACCAGGAAGATGGCTGGGGCGGCTTGGCTGTGCTGCATCGTCCTGATTTGCCAAAGGTTAAGATGGACGACAAGACCGAAGCATTGAACAGGGCCTTCAAAATAAGGTCAGGGATGCTTGACCGAGTTCAAGGAGATGACAAAGCACTCAACCGTCTCCTCGAAGAATTTGCGTCGTTCATGCAAGTACGCGATGCTGACGGGGAACAAGAATCCCAAGATGATTCAGACGAAGGATTTGAAGACAAGTCAGACGAAGACTCTAGGGGAGACTCCGAGGAATCTAAACAGGACTCTAAAGATGACCTGGAGGAAGCTAAAGGTAATTCGAAAGATGACCCCACGGACTTTGAAGAGGATGAGGGATCTGAAGGTGACTCTGAAGCTGACCTTCAGGACTCGAAGAGGAGTGGGAAGAACAACTTCACGATGACCCTGAGGAATCGACGAGGACTCAGAAGAAGAACTTCACAATGACCCTGAAGAATCTAAGGAAGACGAAGTCTCTGAGGAAGGAAGAGCTCTAAAGGCGGCCGCGAGAAGTGCACACCGGACCGCCAAAGGCCTTGCGCTCTACAATTGTTTGACAGCTTCTTGACTGTGAGTTCCGCTTGCCGAGTTCGGCCATGTTGTTGGTTTATTCTGCATGTACGGACGTCTTCTGGCACTATACTTGGATTGTCTCTGGCTTGCCGTCTTGGAAATTTCCAATTTGACTACTGTGAGCATCCCAACCACGGCCAAGAACCCAGCGAGCAGGGCCTTCTATCATGGCTCGGCTATTCTATCATGCCCCGAAAAGCTGTCATTCGAGGGAGTTTGGTTGCCCAAGGAGGGAATGGACTCCTGAACCAACCAGCCAGCCAGCTAATCACGTCCTGTAGCATCAAGGAGCAACATTCTTCCCGGATGTATCTCCAGGAAGGATGCAGGCGGTCGCAAAAGAGGCGAAGTGGTTTTTTTCAAGCCCCTGCCGTCAGGGGGGCAGCGATTACTACGTACAGAATATACAAGGAACCAGAAATCGTATATATATGTACAAGCAATCAGATTGCAGGGTGCTATTGAGGTGTCCCTGATGATGCGACACTCTACAAGAGGGCCCGGCACGCTGCGAACGCCACTGCAAGGGTAGTTGAGAGATGCCGAGCGGTAAGCTCCAGACGTAGCCACCGTAGCGGAGTTATGTCAGCGCACCTCGCGACTCACACGCGCTGTGAGGTCCAGGAGGCAGGAGGCAGGTAAAGCAGAGAGGCAAGCAGGAAGGTAAGCAGCAGGCAGAGCGTGGTGACCAAAAACAAAGTTCAAGTTCCATCAGTATATACCTCACCATATCCACAAGTCCCATTATCACGCGCGACTTCCAAGGATGGGGTAGAAGAGCCCAAGAAGAGCCTCAAGTACAAAAACAGGGCCACCACGACCGGTGGGACTTGGGACTCGATTCCCAACGGGCCAGTTTTGGAGCGTGGCAAGACGGTCTCACCGACATTTCTACGCAAGGAGACCGGCGAGGTGAGCGCAGTAGGGGGACTTTGCCGCTGTGGAAATAAAAACGTCGCAGGATCAACTCAGCTCCCGTCCCAGGATCTCTCTCTCTCTCTCTCTCTCTCTTTCTATTTAGGAATCATCGAGAGGCGCCTCCTTTCGCGAAACCTCGAGTCCACTCAACACGGTCGGTATCCCACGTGTGGAAGTGGTGATCACTGATCATCGTAAAAGGAAGAAATAGCTTTCCTGGGCGGAGCTGACCATGTATCTTAGCGCAAGACCCAGTAATCCATCCCTCGCGGGGCGGAGCAGAGTAGAGGAGAGAAGAGTAGCCGAGATCCACCATGAATGAAAGATGGAATCAAGAATCAAGGCTTAGCTCCGCCACCCACGCACGAATCAACAACTTGATGTCATGGTCCAAAAACGAGGCACCTGCAAACTGGAAACTGGGACTTCCACCCCCAGAATGCTGGATGGCTGTTTGTATGGTCTCCGGAAAGGCCCCCGTGGTTGCCGACTCAATCGTGTAGGTGTTCTCTTGCCCAACGGGGGAGGGAAGGAAGGATGTGCCCTCCGTCGCAGTGCCAGGCGCGCTGGTATATAGTATATGCATATGTGTACGGAAAATGCCTCCCGTGTTGTGGGTGCTGGGTATCATCCGCCCCATTCTTCTCTGGAATGATAAGCAGGAAAGGAAGAGGGGAGGGGAATGACCATGCATCTAGGACAAGGAAAAAGATGGTCGTAACGTCGCGTCGTGGACAGAACTACATACCCAGTAGAGATCGCTCAGTCAAATCAAGTTGCCCCTCTCACTTCATCCATTCTCCACGCTCTTCATCTTCCCCGTGCCCGTTATTCCCTCATCGTGCCCCAAAGATGAGTCCTTCCTCTGCGGACTGTTGACGCCACTCCCCAACCCATTGCCGGTGTATAGCCCCTCAAACTCTCCCCGGACCCCTTCCACCAGTTTCCCCACGACATCAATCTCGGCTGACAAATCCTCCACATTCGCGGCCAGCGCCGCTACCTCCTCGAACTTCCTCCGTCGATTCGCATCGGCGATCATCTCTTGTACCAGGAATCTCTGTTCTTCGAGGACAATCAGGCGCTCACGGAGCGACTTTTCCTCGGATTCGAGTTCGGATATCCGGGCCGAGTTGGTGGTGGCGAAAGAGGCTACGCTGAGGGCAGAAGAGGAATCCTTCCTTGCGTGGTGCGAGCCATTCAAGATCGCCAAAGAAGAACGCGGGTTGGGGTTGTGATGCAAGTCAGCTGGTTTGGTGCTGTTGCCATGAGGTGTGGCGTGTTTGAGGACTTTCGGAAGGGACTTTAAGGGAAGCATATGGAGATGTAGAAATTGGGTGGCGTTTTGGTATATGGCTTTCTGGAGTTTCAACTGTGTCGGCGATTGGCTGGGCATGTCCCGTATACGTCGTGCTGCGGTGTCATATTGTGTGAATGAATCCATGAGTCGTTTGCGCGTACGTGAAGCGTCGGTGATTTGACTTGATGAAGGAGGATGATCCGGGTCTTGCAGGACTTGGAGGAGTTTCTGAAATTTGGGGAGCAGGAGCCGGATACCCCGTTCAAATTGAAGGAGATTACTGTATGAACGGCTAAATGCCTCAATCGACGGTGAGGTCAGGGAGGCTTGGAAGTCCCTGCGGGCGAAAATCACTTGATTGCACTCTTTGCAGAGGCGTATGTCTACCGCGACAGTGTCATTGGGGGCTGGCTTTTCTGTGATGGTGAGGCGGGTGTTAGCTGTCAAGTTGGATATCAGTATGTCAAAAGAAGAGCAAGGTAGAAAGAGGCAGGCGTACTAGTAGCAACATCGAGGCCGATGACTGTTGAACATCCCGTGGCAGCGTCTCCACAAACCACCTTCCCACATGTTCGGCAGTGATGTCGCCGGAACGAGTATTGGCTGAACTCTTGCTGGCAGTACGGACATCTGGGGACGTCGGCGTCAGTCTGCCAGGGCACGACGCTTTGCTCGAGCACCTTTCGAGGGTCTGTTGGAGCCCAGGTTAATGACCATCTCTTGTTATGAGTCGGTGGTGGGATTTCGTCCGGTGGGTTGGCAATTATCTGCGTCAACCGTGAAAGCCTTTTCTCCAACCTGGAGACCTCCATCTCTCTATGGCTGAGTTTGTTTCGCCTCGCACTCTCAAACTCGGCCATTCTGTCTCTTTCCAGACCATGTCGGTCTGTATAACCCTCGCGGCTTTTGTAACATGTCTCGCATACCCGATACCAGAGCCCTCGAACGGGCTCATGTTGTGCAGACCTCGATAGCTTCATTTGATACATGGTATGCTCCTCGCAAAAGAGCTTCCCGCAGTGTCGGCAATTGACGACTCCCGCCGTAGACCCAAGCCTCTTCTCACATGTTGGATCAGAACACACGTCGTACACGGTCCTCTTTTGCCAGTGCTGTTTTGTGATAATGTCGTCTGGATCGATGATCGATTGGGAGGGCTTGGGGGGCAAAGGCGGAGCAGCAGGATCCCTGGGACCTCTCGAGGCAGATTCACTCCTCGGTGTAGGCGTAGTGCTTCGGACACTGTCATGGTTCGACTCAAAGACATCCAAGCCCTTGAGTTTCTGGTTCAACACCGCTAGTGGCTGGAATTTCTTTGCCTTCACCATTTGTTGTTTGAACCAATCTTTCACCTCATCTTGTTGTTCTTCTTCAATCTCTTTATGTGCATCGTCTAGGTGCCTATTCAGTTGCAGCAAGGTGACCATTTCCTCACTACATATGGGACAGACCAAACGGTCCGTTGCGGCGGCGGCTGCGGCTGCCGTAGACAAGTCCGGCGCCCCATGGTCGAGTGATACTCGTGATACTATGTCTTGAGGATCAGAGGACGGAGGGGTAGAAGTCCCGCTCTCAGAGGTATCCAAGGACAGAGTCGAGGCCGAAGGGGACAGAACATGGCCAGGCAGAGGCGAGGTAGACTTTGGTGGAGGAGCAGGAGGTCCCAGGGTTCTACTGTTTCCCAGAACCCTTCCGCCGCCGATGGTACGCCGGGACATTGTACTGTTGTTTGGCTTCCATCAAGCGAGGTTGAGTGGGAGGTGGAGGGATAGATGCTCGATAGAGGGGCGGAAACGGTAAGAGTGTCTGCGCGGCAGAAAAGGCAGAGTCACCAGAGTCAGAGGGATAGAACACGACCTAGGGCCGCTTGGTCACCCAGTTCCGCCGTGCAGGCACGAAGCCACAACTCAAGGGCTTTTGTTGGTCGAACGGACTTACGACGAAACATGGAGGTGGCCGCTGTTATCCTTCCATGGCCACCAGCCTTTGCCGTGGTTTGGTGGCTTGGCACGGAAAGACAAAACTGCGAGCCGGTATTCTGCTTGGAGGCGAGGAGAGACGCCGCTTTATTTTGATCACGTGGTGTGACGTCATCTTCACCACCTCCCCAAGACCTCCCTTACCCATGCCCGCTTCTAAGTCAACCGTTAAACCGCCCTACAAAATCGAGTCTTGATGTCCACCATGGCCTTGCAATGAGGACGGCGCTGGTCCTCCTTCCGCCAATGTGCTTGTATCACTCCAGATAGTCGAGAGCCACCAATCTAGTAGGGTGTAATCGCATCCCCGGACTCGGTTCATTTCGATGTCTCGATATCTAGCAAAGCTATCCGCGGCTGGCGGAGCACGAGGCTCTACATTAAGAATCAATATCAACAAGTGAAGACTGTGAACACTCAGATGACAGCCGAGACGACCCCGGCGCCAGCAGGATGAAAGCCAGCTTGAGTAGAAAAGAATGTTGAATCTATCCTTTTTGAGGGACGGAATTCAACGGACTCCCTTCCCCGGTCCTCCAGCCTGCTTCCACTTACTATACAGACTCGTAACAATTATAATCGTTTGAATATGAGTTCTCTAATCTGTCCACTTAGCTGTTTCAGCAGTCGCGTCTCCCGGGATGCACCCAGTGCCCTGCAAAGTGTTCGTGTCTGCATCATGACTGACGATGTTGTTGACTGCTCTGGTGACTGCTCGTACGCCATT